CGACAGATAAAGGCGATAGGGTAAAGGTGGGCTGCAATGGAATGAAAGCTCCCAAGCTCAGTGGTCACTTAATACATTTATTACAGCACCGTTCACCTGATTCTCCACTTGCGCGATACTCTTTACAAAAGTTATCTTCTGAAAACAAATGGGACTTGAAGAACAATTTTTCAACGTTCCGATTCCACCTCTTCTATTTTGTTGAGATCCTCCTAGCTGGAATTGATATCAATGATGTGTCCAAGGCGAACATCTCAATTCATGTAAGTGATGCTTGTCTGAATGTGATGCCTTGCTCAACAAAAAAAAATTCAGAATCTAACCCTAATATTCTACGTTATGCCCATACTCGACTATTCGGAATGCGTGAAGCACCATGAGGATCTCACACCCGACGAGAAATCGCTGTGCTTGTTATCAGCCAGACTACCTTTATTGGCCGAGTTAGCACTGGATCGGTACGTTGTTTTCGACGAGTTAGTGATTTTCTCACAGATTTTCTGACTTCTGAGTCGAACTTTCAGAATGCTGGGAATCATCCAATGCTTAGCTATCACGGCTCCTAAAGATTCCTCGTCAGCATTAGGAAACTTCAAGGTAATGTATATAGTTTAGTTCGCTGCGGATGAAGGGGCTTGTCAGGTGGGATGAGTTTGGCGCGGTGCTAAAGCCGTTCTCCACCAGTTGTTGGAATGAGCAAGTGAGGAGGCTGTATTATGTCGTACAAATCACTCTTTTCTAGCAACTGCCGCAATGCGTGCTCCAAGAACTGGCAGAGAACGGGCTTGGCGCCGTGACACACTCGCACTGCCTGACACGCCCCTTCATCCACAGCGAACTAGAGTATACGCAGGACAATAGGATCGCTGAAAGCTGCGCGCGGCGACCTGAGGCGTCTGCTCCCGCAGTTCCAAATGAATGGCATCTCAATGGTGGTAGGGTCACTGAAGTGTGCCTCTTCAATTCTGATGGAAATGCTAAACTGGAAATACCGCTTGAAGAAAGGAGGTCGCCCGTGTTTACTCTCCACCAAGGGAGGTGTTTCGGTCATAGCCGCCGCTTTTTGGAAATTGTTTTTTGCTTTGTTGTAGAGTTCCAGACAGCAGGCGTCACAAAAAATTGTGGTTACGTTTTTGTCTATGCTTTCGCGCAGCAGTCAAAAACTGAGTGAAAAGAATTTGGCAGGAATGGGCGGTTTTAACAACGTTAATGGGCTCCGTTCTGCTTGTAACTTCGAGCATGCATTGTTTATGGTGTGTTCGTTAATTAGGACTCGAAAATAGATTTGAATGAAGCAAAATGTAAGAATCATGTAGTGGCATCACATTTGCTGCCCAGACCCATGGATTCTGCGATGAGCACGACAATGCGGGACTCGGTTCGGACCTCATTGTGGCAACAGTTTTGCATCTGTATCAACGCAACGAGACGAGAACATTTCCGGAAACAAGGTTCTCCGCACAAAACGGTGCATGCGGGGTGTCATCCAGGAAAGGCCAACAAGTCAACCTGGACATTTGCAGTGACTGCATATCATTGTACTCGTCTTGACACAGTGAACTCGAAACTACCTTCAAAATTTGCGGAACGATTCTCTGAGCGAAGTTATGGAGGTTTTCCCTTCACTGTTTTTCTTCCTGTGGGTGGGCTGGCGCAGTGAATTTGCACCTGTAGCGCGACTCACAGCTCTCTCCGTGCGAAATAGATATCATATTCGTGTTCAGGGGTCAAACAACCCCTAGAAACGCCACCTTGAGGAAATCCGAGGTTCTGACTCAACTTCGAAAAAACGGGGTAGAGATGGTCACGCCTGGATGATAGCCAATACTCCGACTAGAATACTGGTGATAACTGGTCTTTGCACTGAAATAACCTTCAGTGCATGCTTTTTCGCAACAATACCTGCCTCACTTGTTCGTGCCGCCTGCATCATTTTCCTGATTACCGGTAGAAAATTCCATCCCAAGACCAGTCATCCATGGTGGGTGGACCCCAGCCTGCTGCTAATTGTCCATAGAATGGCCCACATTTTCCAAGTTAGGTCGAAACGTCAGATTTGGCTAGAAATTAGTCCCCAGGGGTAATCCAACCCGCTGAACATAAATGTGATGGTATTTCATTGCAATAACTCTTCTGACATGAGCTACGAGAGACAAGCACACTAACAGGTCACAGTGTGGCCACAAGTATATGCCTTCAAA